ACCCTGCTTTTTTTTTTTAGTTTTGGAAACTGTAACACACAGGAGAGATTTTATTTCAAACTAAGGTTTAGCCCCCTGTCCCCCCCTGTCCTCCCCCTCCCCGCCCTGTGAGTCTCAGCGGTGAAGATGGCCTCGATGTGACGCAACGCGATGCACCGCGATGCAACGCGAGGCGATGCTCCCTGCGCGCAGGAGGGTCCAGCCCAATTATGTAAGGGCGCTGACGGCGCTCATTGGTTTTTCACGGGAGGAAAAAGAGCCCTCCCTCCCGTTTTCCCTCGCTGCTGAGGGTAGCATAGGGGCAGAGGTGGGGAGAACGGGTTTGTCTGGTCCTGACCGTGCAAACGCCAAAACCTGCTTTTACAACCTGCTTTTGGTAGTGGGGGGAATCCTTCAGCCCTGTTTTTGGGAGGAGGATGTGGCAGCAGGGCTTTGTAGAGGGGTATTTTAATTGCACAGTGAAGTCTGACTGTGTGAATGATGCATTGGTGTAGCTTTCACTGGGAGATTTGGGGAATCAGGCCTGTGAGCGGCAGCGTGGGCTGCTGAAAGCTCAGCCTTAAAAGAGGTTCCCCCCCACCCCTTTAAAAGGGAATAACCTCGTGCTCTGACACCATGGCTTGACAGTCTCTGCTAAAAAAAACCTATGGCAGGGTTTGCCACGGAGGAGAGACCTTCCTGCCCAGCCTGACACCCGCCTCTGCGTCCGTCCCCACACTGTTTGGGGCTGCAGGGAGGGTGCATCCCATCCAGGTTTTTGTTCTTGGAATGAAATGACACCAGTGGCTGGCTATGGTTGTCACTGCGGCAGGACTGTCAGGGCACAGGACACAGCTGGGGTGTGGGGATGCTGCCCTGGGGTCTCACAGTTGTCCTCTGCAACAGAGAACCTGGGCTCTGCTCTTCTGCTGTTTAGCTATATGCCTGCACTGTCACTTCACCCGTTCGTGGAGCAAACGCATGGTATCATTTTGTTGCACTGTAACTTCCCCTTAGCGTCTGTTTGACTGTTTTGCTCTTCCTCTGCGAGTGATGGCACTGAACACTTCACAGCTTGTGCTGTGGCCCCACGGCTCAGGCTTGGCTGGCCCCCACCCCAGCCCTGCGGCTCCGGATCAGAGCGGGTAACTGCGCCCAGCAGCACCGTCCATCCATGCCTTCCTCCCTCGGCTCTGTAAATGCTTGGTCACGGTGGGAGGGTGCCTGGCTCGGGGAGATACGCTATCTTTGGTGCAGACCTTGGCTACGTGGGGACAGAAGTACTTTCTGCAGGAACAATTAAATTGGGGCTGGTTTTACGGTCAGTTTAGGGTTTAATTACGTTTTGATTGTCTGCATTTCCTTTGCGAATGGCATTATTCATCGCTTCCTGTCTCAAAGTCCCCAGTACGTGGAGCACTTGCATACATATGTTTCACATGAGGTGTTTTATTGTGGCATTGGTCCTGTTAGGACATAATGCCAGCTGAGAGATGAGTTGCTCTCAAGGCTTCCAGAGCAGCAAAGGAGACACAGGTGGCCTTGGCACAGAGATGGCCTGGGGTTTAAAACGAGGTGGCTTTTCCAGTTTTGCTGAGGACAGAAGACATGGGCAGGGTTTTATTTTCTTGGTCCTGCTAAGCTGGAAGCAAAAGTGATCCCAAAGGTGTGGCTTCGGTCTGCGCTGTTTGCAGAACCAAATTTCCAAGGCAGATAATGAAACAAGGCAAGAATAGACTGGCAGCTGAGGTAAAAGAGGTGGGACGTGTGCGTTTAGCAAGAACCCCCCAAGGCCAAGTTGTATTTTTGAGGCATCAAAGCATCTCTCGCTCTTCCTGATGCTGAAGATGGGTGTAATATTATGGAAAGCAATGTTATTGGAAAACTGGAACCGCCTCCTTTTTCCAGGGAGGTAAAGAAAGTTCCTGTCTTGGGAAGCCACAAGGGAGAAGTCAACAACTTTTAATTTGATGTTTTATCTTGAGGAGGAAGATGCTACCTGCCCACAGCCAAGTTCTGCCTCTCCTGACCCTCTGGCTGTGATAGCTTTGGAATGGGATAGGGAAAATGGTCTGCTACACAGAAGTCATTTCTCAGCCTGGGACGTAGCCCCAAAACCGCTGTGGCAAGTCCTTCGCAGTGAAAGGCTTTAAATACAAGGTACCTCTGTGGACTGCAGCAACACCCACATCACCCCAGCTGGCACAAGGTGCCAAAAGAGAGACTTTTAGCTTCAGCTGTTCAGCTCACCGACAGTCAGGCGAGCTGAGAAGAGGGGCGAGGGCTGGAGATTGTGGTGTGAGGCTGTGGTGAACGGTTTTGTGTCGAAAAGAGGAGGCAGAGTGATGTGGGACTGGGTCTTGCCTTTGGAAGGCAGTAGGATGGGGTGGGCTTCAGCTCACGTAGGTCCTAGGACCTGCACATTTTCCTTGATTTTGAGTCAAAAGACAAGGCATGAAGCGTGTGGCTGTGTTGTCAGCTTGGCGAGAGCCCCGGGGCCAAGCTGGGGCTATATGCTATTCTTGCAATTAAAGAGAGGTATAGCCCCGCTCGGGCACCTCAGGGCAGTCTTTCACTCTGTGGTGGTGTTTGTCTTTTTCCCCAGATTGATAAATACCTTTACGCCATGCGGCTCTCTGACGAAACGCTCATAGACATTATGGCTCGCTTCAGGAGGGAGATGAAGAACGGCCTCTCCAGAGATTTTAACCCAACGGCTGCAGTGAAGATGCTTCCTACGTTTGTGAGGTCCATTCCTGACGGTTCAGGTAAGGAGCTGAGTGTTTGTTTTCCGTATTAAACATGGTGTGTTTCATGGGAAACCTGTTAGAAATACACCAATGCGCTATCAAGGCAAGAGCAATTTGCTTTCTGGGAAGCCCAGACAACATTTTGAAGAGAGCCTCTCCCCCTTGTGTGCCGGTCTGTTCCCACAGATGCTGGCGGATTTTGTGATTCCTGTGTCAAACCTACTTTGATGCCAATGGAAGAGCCCTTCCTAGCAATCAGTCCGCTAACGGTCAATACATTTTTGCTGAGATTTGTCTGCCAGCAATCAATACTTCACACAAGAAGATTTTTGATTTATGCAATTCACACTCATCTAGACTCCTAACAAATACAGTGGCTTTTAGTCATTTGCTGTTTGACTCAACATTTCTTCTCCTCCTTATTTTTTCCCCAGTGGAAGTGTGAACCCTTATATGCTGAATCTGAGTTTCCTGGCATTCATTTTGCTTGTCGTAGCTACCTCTTGCAGACTGTCTTAGGGCAAACTTGCAGAACTCAAGGAAGCTGCAGTGTATGGCTCGAAAGCTGCTGCTCTGGTGTACTGAGCTTTTTCCATGCAGATGTAGGACTCGGTTTTTCTGTGCTCACTGTACCTGATAAAAGTGGCACAAAGGGCTATCAGAAACCAAAAAGATGATGTGTTGGTATTTGAGACCAAGATTGCCCCTATTACTTATTTTAGTGTTTATAAAAAGATAATACTATATAGAGAGTATATAAATATATTTATAAACAGTTTATTATTTAGTGGTAACTCTGGATTTCCTTCTCATGTAGCATGAATTGGCTAACTGTAGTTTGGTGCCTACCACAAATTATGTCCCTGTGTGCAGAAATTGCACAGTTGCAAGAACTGCATACACGGTTACCTGTTTTGAGGCTCTTCTTGAGTTAAAATCAAGAATTTATTGGGTGAAAGAACATGAAGCCTGGTGCTTTGTGTTACTTGGCGCTGTCTGGCAGGTGGAAATTTCTGATAGTTCTGCTTTGCTCTTGCTTTCTGCCACCTTAAGTTTTTTCGTTGAAACATGATTCTCTGTCTAAAAAAAACCAAAGGGAGCACAAACTTGAATCCTGTGTTTCCCTTAATTTAGCACTACTGGCTGTTATGTTGAAATGTTGTGTTGAAATTCGCAGCCTGTTGAGAAAGCCAGAAGCTGCCACACACAGCTGGGTCACGGGCAGAGGTTGCTCTAAGGTGAGGTGATGCGAGGGCTTTTGTGTGGAATCCCCGTTTTTTCCTTCATGCGTGTTTGGGTTCAGATGAGTACAGACCTGTCCCCAGTACCTGCTCTGTCGGGCACTGCAGGTTAGCAAATCTGAGCTGCTTGCTGCAAGTCAAATAATTTTGCAAATTGTTCTGTGGCACAAACTGGGGAGACTTTGAGATGCAATGTGGCACAGGTAAAAGGGGATCTGCGCCCGGCCAGGAGAGGTGGGAGAGATTGCTGAATGCTGCTGGGACCAAGCATGAGCCAGAGCAGTGGGTGGCCCTGGTCCGAGCGTATGCGTGTCTGTATGTCAGGGCATTAATTTCAGATCACATATTACACACCTACTTAAAAAAGCAACCTTGTATGTTGTGCACAGGGTGCTCAGTTCTTGATCCTGTGCCCATTTGGCTCCTGCCGGCCTCTCCGGGACAGGCACGCTGTGGGCAGTGTATTTCCAACATGGATTAGAGCAAGGCAGTGCTTTGCCCCAGACAATTTTTGTATAACATGATAATAATCTATATGTGCATGTTGCGAGTGTCTCGTTAGAAATGCAGGCAAAACCATTCCATTATTAGCCTAGAAAAGGCATGTTCTGACCCTAGGTATGAGCAATATTTGCTGTGAGTGGATGTCACAGCATTTCTTCCCCTGACTCACCTGCATGTGCCTGTCACGTCCAGCTCAGCCGTCACACCGACGCAGCCAGGGCAGGCGTGGAGCCCCCTTCCCTCTTCCTCCAAAAGGCTCGGGGGGCCCTCGCGGATGTGTCCGTGTTGCTGTGCCCAAAGTGTGGGTTCGGCTCCTGGCCGATGGCAATTTCTGCCTTCAGCTGTCCCTCCGTAAAAGCCAGGGGCTGAAAGCCTGCCCTTTTCTCTGGCCTGTCTCTAATTACTGCCTTGTAAGCTCTTTCCTCTGAGGCTGATTATTATTATGAGAGCTGACTGTTCAGAAAAATACTGTTGTTTAGTTTCAGATCTGTGCTTGTGTGCTTTATTAACAAGGAGCTTTTGAGTAATAATTTTGGAGGCTCTGGAGAAGTTGGTGTTAGCAGGGTTTTTTGCTTCATTCAGAGTTGCTTAATTTACGAAAGCCACAAGGGTTTTTGTCCAAAGTGCCCAGAACGGTATCTCAAGCTAATTCAAAATGCTTTCAAAGGATCTTCCTAAATTAATTTACAACAGGTTTGATTGCATCTTGGTGTTGTAAAGCATAGATTAAATGCCACTACTTGGGTTCTGTTCCTGAAGTACACTGAAAGAAAACTGCTACTTTGCATACAGAAAGCTTTACATTGTAGTTCAGAGTTCTTTTTTCTTTTTAACTGAAAAGGATAAATTTTACCTTGTGATGAGCTTGATGGTGCTGGAAATCAAACACGCTAATCTGTTAATTTACTGCCAGGGAAGATATTTCTGAAGTGCAGTATTTGTTTGAGGTATGTACCAAGGTGCGTTTAGGCTTGGAAAAGGGCCATCTGGTCCAGTGTTGATTTTTCCATTATTCATTGGAGGTAATGGTTTGCATTCGACAAATGATACTCATATGATAAAGCTTATTTGGGTATTTGGCTTAATGAGACACTTGTGGTAAATGTTTTGCTTCCGGTGTTGTTGCAGCAAAGGGGGTTGTGAGTTACTGAATTTGTTATGCTGAACCCGATATAGGAAACTGCATCTACAGTTTGGATATGTTCACGTTTTAAATGACATTTGTACTGGAGCAAAGCGATGTTTAAAGCCACGCTGTTCAGAAACAGGTAGGGAAGTGCTGCAAGATCTGTATTTCGGCAAACTCTGAGTTTGCCCATGTCTTAAGCAGCAAGAAGGAAAAGTTGTATTGCAATGCGGTAAAATTAGGAGGTTTGTTAGGAGTTGTGGGCTCCCACTGTTGTTTTGCTACGTTTTTCTGTACGGAGCTTATTGTTCTTTGTGGTTTCTCACATGACAGTGTTTTGTTTGCTGTATTACACTGCAACCTTGGAAAACCGTAAAGGCTTTTGCAGTGTCTTTGCCTCTCTTAGGCTGTTCCTGCTAGAGGTCCTGCCCCGAGGGACGCCTCATCCAGCTCATCAGCTTTGCTGAGCGGGAGGGGGCTCCTGGAGGTGCATGAGGCGGTGAGGAGGAACGGCAGCTCGCTAATCCAGACTTTAGGAGTATTGATCTGAGATTGGGCAGGGTAACCTCGGAGGCGAGTCTGGGTCTGGAAATCCTTGTGGATAAGTTGCATACCCGATATCTTGGTGACAACGTGGGGTCAGAAGTCTCTGAGAGCTGAGTCAAAGTTTGAGGTGACACATCTAAAGGTACCGGTCTTCCCAACTGCTAGAAGTCTTTCCACACTGAGTTTAGGTAGAAATGGAAAAATGGTGATGTTGGGGATGGTTTCCCCAAAGTCATAGTTTAAAGTTGGAAGGAAGAATGAAAAGAGGCCGAAGAGCGCTGCAGGATGGGACTGGCAATATGCATCGGTGGTGCAGGACGTGGGGGAGGCAGCTCGTCCTGCCGGTGGCACGGGGCGCTTCTGACGCCACAGAAAGGTACAAATCGGTGAGGAAACCAGGACAAGAAAGCACCATGCGCCTCTGCTTCACCACCTTCCGAAGCAACCTTGGTGAGCCCAGGGATGCCGTGCGCAGACACGAATGCTTGCAAAGAGCCTCGGTGATTAACTGCAGCCCCGGCACGCACTTCTGTGTGTTAAGTTGTGCACACTGCTTCCCTAAATATTATCTTTTTGCAGACTTTAACAGTTGCTGTCCTTGTTTGCTCCC